ATTTGGCAAAACGGAACAACTATTTATTATGATATCATGGGTTGCTCCTAAATACAGGAATAGGGATTACTGAGACGACGTCTGTGTTGAACGGGATACTAGGAGGGGGTATCACCTTGGAATGTTTCCTCAAAAGAGTTCCATCCGGCTTTCCCAATATTACCTTCAAGTGGTTGCTTGGCAACAAACCCTTGAACGATGCGTGCACAATTGAGGGCAGTACCAGTGCGGGGAGGTATGACTATCACCATGACAACCATGGTTGCAACTTGACGATTAACGACCTCAAGTTAACTGATGAGGGGCGCTACAGATGTGAAGCTCAGTATTCGGCTACGACGGTGTGGAAAAATACATCCTTGATAGTTAATGGTAAATAGAAACTTGACATAGCTGTTTTAATCAAAACACAATCTTCCTATGGTGTATTTGCTTTTGATGTGGCACCATGTTCACTTGAACCGGTATGTGCGCGTACTCGATGTTTTTTATCACTACGGTGCTTGAAACTTGCTTTAAACGCGTGCGCCTCGAATAAACGTAAACGGTTATTGACTGTTGTAAGTTGTTTAGCCATGGTGACAGACGAAAGACTCAGTTCAGTGAATGAACATCGAGAAGTGACTGATCCCGAAGCTTGTTGCATGGGATTGAGTGCGTTTGCTTTATATTTGCGTTTAGCCGATGCAGCAAGCAAGGCCCAGGCGTAGGGGTACATTACAATACTATATGGAGGATACTGGCCGGAACGTCGAATTTAACATCGCCGGTTGGTCTCACAATCACCCGGCTGTTTAAACGAAGTCGCTGAACATGATGTAGTCATAATGCTAAGGCAGGTACCTGCCCTTTTGAAACCTTGACTACAAACCTGGACTCGATTGACAATTTGAATTACATGTTGATTTGTGGTTGTTGCTGAATGCTGTATTTCTACTAAAGTTCCCTCATAACTATTGCCGTTCTTGTTGGTCTTATCCTGATGCAAATTGTAATGCTTTTCCGCAGTGCCACCCAAATATGTGTACATCATCAACGCCACTACCGGCGAAGTTTATAACGAAGACGTGAACGTCAGACCGGACACCGACCATAACTTCACCTGCCTGGCCACAGACACCAAACCCCCGGCAGAAATCACCTGGACACTCGCTGAGAAGAACACAAGCGGAGAGACGAGGGTAGTTGGGACGAGATTGCATAACACAAGCAGCACGTTCACCTTGACGTCATTTCATCATGGTCAGCGAGGGAATCTAACGTGTACAGCAACTGGGGCGGGAGAGAAGGTGGTCACGAATATTGGGTTGCTCGGCCACTATGGAAAAACAGGTATTTTTTTGCCAATGTTCGTGTTTTATCCTCGTTTTGTTTAGCTATATCGATTTTTAAAATTATAAATATGAGATTTGAATTAACTTTCAAAAACGCAACTGCAATAATCGTCTTGATTGTAAGTTTATAACTTCAAGCATCCATCGGTATGCCGCCATTGTAAGAAAATATGAATGAGCTATTTAACGATGGCTTTAAAATATCATCGGTGACAATGACAAACGATTTCTTTCCACCGGAGACTACCCACCGTCGTTAATAATAAGCGGCGCTGTTAATTCGAATGAGGCGTTCTTTCATTTCAGCTGGTTCATATACGGCATGCAGACGGTATACGTGTCATATCCAATTAATAGCCGTGCAATACAATACAGCCCTCCTATGAACAGGTCCCCATCCAATCATTGGCCAGATGACAACCGTTCCTACATTAGGCTTTTATTATTACGAATGGCCATGCTATTCATCACAAATATATATTTTCTTTAGATCATCTAGCGAGGCAGCCTTTTCTCTCTCTCGTGTAAATCTGTAGGTGTTAATAACAAAAGTATACTAGGGGACTAACTTAAATGATTACTAGCAATGAAATTTGTCTTCTTTGTTTTTACTTGTATTTACTGCCTTACACAACGCCCGTTGCAGTCAGCGGGAAATATAAGTCGCCCACACAAACACGTTGTTGCATGGGTGAACAGTTTCATTCTCTTGGTTTGATGGCTTGGTCAAAACTGTGTGCGTTCAATCTAATAACTTAATTGATGTTATACACAGAAATGTAGCTGCATTGTAGGGTTTATGGTATACAAAATGTATATGCGTTTGTCCGTCATTCATTCGTGTCGATGTCCTGTGTACATAGCTTGCAGCGACCCATGTCGGCTTTGCAGTTTTAGTTTTCACTTCAAAGCACTACAAAATTAGCGTCCACTTTCAGACGCAGAGATATACTTCCGCGCCTAATTTTATTAAAATAAGGACCAGAATTTATATTAACAGTTTTTGTACTGTTATGGGTGTGTGGCAGCGCGGTACGGCATAGCCGCCACACCCCAAAGGGGATCGACACAACGAAAAGATAGACAAAATTATTGAAGACAGGAATGCAGAACATAACCAACTATCTTTAATTAAAACAACTCAAACAATTTGTCGACTTATTGTGATACAGCTTCGTGGGCCCAGGCAACCCGACGGCACGTTGAGGGACGCAACCTCGCGTGCCCGGAGCCCAACCATTTTATAACAGAGAAGCGTTATGTAACAAAGTATTTTATAGACTGAGTGAATTCGCAGTATGCCAAGCTCGTGGCAAATTAACAAAGAACAAAAATGTGGGCTGGTGCAGGTGGCGCCTTAACAGTATTTATGAGAATCCGCTCTAACTTTACAAAATGTTTATCAGACATTACTTGAAACAATGGTATTATTGAAACAATGTATTATGTTATTACGTAGCAAGCGCGGGCAGAATTTAATTGGGCATTGTCCTGTATATTATATTTTATGGTATACAAAATTTAACGGGCAGAATTTAATCAGGCGGGCTCAAAAAGATGTAGGCCGATCGCAGCGACCTGTGTAGTATGTGTGTAGTATAGTGGTTAACGGGAGGGATTGGATTTTAGAAAGTACGTGGTTCATATCCTGCGAAAATAGTTCTTTGTAATATCCTGCCACAACTTGTACCGTTGAAGTTGTTTTATTACCCAAAAAAATAGACTCATTTTTTTCTGCGCGCTGTTGACATCCATCTTCCTTGCTTATATTGTATTTGTTGACAGACGCAAGCAAGCTAGCTGTTAACCTTGTGCATATGCTTGGGTAGGCACATACACGTTGGCCCATGTAATTCGTCTGACTATTTTTGTGTCGATTGTAATGCTTACTTCATCTACTTAATCACTGAATGAATGCGTTGCTGTATTTCGATACTTGCTCTTCTTCCTTATGTTATTGGAAAACCCATTCAGCTTTACTAAGATTGGGAAAGGCTTTAAGAACGGTTGGGTTAAAAACATTCTTTAGGTCTCAGTCTAAAATGCAATTGTGAACGTATTGTCACCTGCATCATAGAAATAAGTTTTTACTCGAATTTTACTCGAATCTGATTGACGTACTAAAGATGGATGGGGAGAATTGGAAACTACTGGGCCATCCCAAAACGACAACGGAGAATCCGGATCAACAATTAGCACACCGAGTGAGTTTATGTTTTGAAACTTAATGCGCTTCATATACACTTATATTTTATGACGGACGATGTCATACAGTGCAAAATGAATGCCACTCGTCATCAGCTGCGGAAATAATCTGGGAAAATTGAGCGTACGTTTCGAGAAAAAAATGTAAGACCTCTGATGGGTTTGTCCAATGAACCCCATACCCGCTAGCCACTGGTCTGACATTAGGCCATTTTCAATTTGCTTTTATTAGCACAAAAAGCCTGGCTTAGTAAAAGAAGGTTACCAGCCAAAACTCCACGTGATTTACATGCCTAGCAAACAACAGCTGAATATCAATTACAAGCAATATACATCACATGGCAATTTAATTGGTTGCTAATCCTGTTTTTGCCAAGAAAGACCTTTTGATGATAAGCACATTATTGTGCTTAGCAGCTCCCTGACATTGGCCCCTGGTGGCAATCAGTAACATCTATAGGTCCCTAGGTCACACCAGTGGGATTAAAAGTCGATGGAGGAAATTGACACTTTAACATGCGTTATACTTGTTATTCGTTATACTTAATTTCTAGAAATTCTAAACTATAGTCGCTGCTCTTGGTATTTTTTTTTTTTGGTTACATATAAATTGTGTAGTCCGGTACTGATTGCTCTTGTTTGGTTATTGTTTACATTTGCAGTAAAATTCCATCCACCCTTGTTCGGGGAAGTGTTTCAAGAAGGATATCCGAAGCAAAAAGATATCAACTGTTTATACACTTTAGTTTCATTTTCAGCAAGCTTTAAAGAAAAACACCAGCTGTTTTAAATACCTGTAGTGAAAGAAAGACTTGGTTTGCATTTAACCGTGAATTTTGCCTATTTGAATCCCAATTCAAACACTTACAATATACTATTGACCATACACTATTAGAGCTTACTGAAAGCTTCACAGACATGTTTACTTTACATCTTGTGGATATTCTTTGTTTTCGTTAAGTTAAGAAAAAATACTTTAAAAAACCCTACATTTCACTCACACTGTGAAAACACTTTCAGCCCATTTTTTTTCTGTGATTGCCTTAAGTGTTTCTTTTTATTTTGCCACGGATAAACCTAACCCAAAATGGCTATAAACCTGTTTTTCAGAGAGGGGAAAATATTGTGTGGACATGGGCAAGTCCACACAACGTCGCTGCTACCTGGTTTATGTGGACTTCTGTTGTCTGGAAGTCCACACAATGAATATCATGCTTGTACACTACGACAAGCTAAACACACACTAACAAAGTTTTATAAAGGAACAAAACTGCGGCGATAATAAATAGGATATCCGTAGCCATAACTGGACTTTAAACTTTTCGACTGTTATGTTTGCCTTTGTAGTCAATTTGAGGCGTCAAAATTGTATAACTATTGCAGGAATTTCAAATGCATCATTTACATAGTAACGATTATTGACTATCAGACTGTTTTCTAACTTCATTTTCAGACCCATGGAAACAGAGTCAGTTGACGTTAATGTCAATTGCGGTCGGTGTCACGGTGGCACTCTTGCTGGTTCTTGTTGCGGCGATCGTTTTCTGGAGACGCTGGAAGAGTAAGTTCATTGCGAATCCTGTTTATTGCAAAGTGTACTTTTGATACTGTCATCGTACCACCAATCCACAAATTTGATACTTACAGTCAGTAGCTGCTGCTCTGTTGTTACTGACACCAATGTAGCAAGATATTGGCAGGGGGTCCCCTTCTCGTTTGTGTTGGTCATTGTGTTCTCAGAATCTGAGGAAGTCTTGAGAGACACCACATAATGTGCATATAGGTGCCCCTCTGTCGCAAATTGGGCAGGGTATATACTGACAACACTGCTGATGTGCCGCTCGCGTATTGTTGTTTCCTAGGAGGGATGGGCCACGTCATGCATAATCAGCTTTTCCTTGGAATCATTGCAATACTCTCTTAGGTTCTCGTTCTCTATTTTTCTAAATAAAAAAATAGTTTATAATATATTATTTTTAAAAAATAGTCAATGAAATTGATCAGCAGCGATATGGATTCAAACCAGGGTTCTTGTATCCATAGCTTATCTCGTTTTCCACTAGGCTACTGTGTTTTAATGTAACTGGTTGCTCTTGACGTAATTGTTTTGTTTTCATGAATGAACATACTGGCCGGATCGAAAGTACTGAATTAATCATGACTTGGCCCCATTCGTCTTGTGAATACAAAATACGCGTGCCGCTCTGCTGTTCTATATATATTGCTCTGCCTCTATGTTGTTATTTTGCACCGTAGCTGCTGAAAAATTCTGCATTTATGTTGTTGTTCAACTCTTCTGGGCTTGCACAAACGTACAACAATAGGGATTTTTGTCACCAAGCTAAGACGTTTGACCAACGTAGGAACCTCAAGCTTTCTTTTATAGTGTTTGATTGTACACATGACATATTTCAACAATGCTTTTTCTGTCACTTAGCGCTGACTAATGGGGACGCCGAATATTAACATCATAATATGTTAGAGTAACCATAAACTCAAATGTGCTTTTATACCACGTGGTTGGTTCAAGATACCAATACGGACACGGTCAGGTTCAATACTGATTAGGGTAAAAGTTACGATCAGTTGCAGTGAGTGTGTTGTAGCCTGTTAGTTCAGCACCTGAAGCAAAATTGCAATATTTTTCTTGTGGTATGCTAGTAAAATAAACAATTTATTCGTCGAGATTAAAACTAAACATTATTGTTGATTGTCCAGAATGCACATTTACTTTTCGAAAGCAAAGGTTCTTTTTTTTTTTTATTTCTTTACAACGTGCCACTCAAACATCGAATTAAGAGGTGATTCTACTTTGTTATGACTTTCTTTTGTGCGGGTTAAAGTACATCAATCGGAGAAAAAAAAGCGAAAGTTAAAGCTGCACTTTTTCAATGAATCCAGGCGGGAAAGGAAGGTAATAATAACAGAAACCGATAAAGACTTTTGTTTCTGGTTTGATTTTTTTTTTTGGTTATTCCTATCTACAGATAACATTCCCCCCGATGGAAACCAGTGAGTAAATTATATTATAAATATTGTCATCGTCAGAGGGGCTCTGCTTTGATTATAATTTATTTGAATTAGTAATGCGGTTCAGTTTCTTTTTGCGCTTACACGAGAGGTATTTTCAACATAATTCCAATGATCTTCATCGCTGAAGATACTTTTCCAACCTACGCACATTTTTAAAGAAGCATTATCGCAGCACACTTTGAAACGTTCCGTGCTGGAATAATTCCAAATATCAGTTCTTACCGATAACTCAATGTTGCAAACGACTCCTTCCTTAAACGTAAAGACGAAGGAAACCGTGAAAAAAAGTGTGACTGTGTGTTTCCTCAGAACCATTAAATATCAAAGATCGATGATCTCATGAAATCTGGCGCAAACCTTTTTATTGTGTTGTAAGATAATTACTACTAAATCTGCTTGAAAAGACTATTAGCCCCATGTAAAGGGCGCCCCCTCTGAAGAAAGGACATGTATGTTTAAATTTAATTTAAAAAAAAATGTACTCTGTAAGGTTGCTTTAACATTTATTTGTGATCTTTCATAAGGGTAGCCCATTCATATATAATGTGGTTTTCCACGGGGCCCTGGACATAAGATTACAAAGAATATAAGTAATGAGACAAAAACAAGCAGATATAATCATTTCATAAAAGAGACATGAACGGGTATACAACTTGAACAATATAAATATGTACATGAAAAAGACATAGACAAAAGTGCTGATAGAGACAATGGATTAAAGAGCATAATCACAAAATAAGTTTGACATGTATTAACGAAACCGAAAAAATGTAAACGATGAAGACAGTAAAAATGAGTACCCTTAACATGCAAAAAAAAAAGGTTAAGCGATAAAGACAGTAAAAAATAAGTACACTTCAGATTCTAAAGACATATATGCAGCTGTCCTATGCAAACCTGCAGGATTTAGGCGGTGAACAAATGCAACATAATTATAATAGCATCGATGGTATGCAAACTTCATTTTTATAACTATATATTGTTAACATATTACAGGCCTGTAGTTCACTACGCACGGACTGGAACCGACAGGCCCACGGTGTCTGTGAGTGCTGTCTTGAACACAGTCGTAGGACCATCAGGTAAAGTAAGCTTAGTGCATGAATGCCCAAGCTGTTCGTACGTCAGGGTGGCCGGATTTTCTTATCCCAGCTGAAACGGAATAGTGGTGCGGCATAGCCACAATAACGCTTAAGTATTGTGCGAATTGTGATAAAAGTATAACACTTCGCATGTTAATAATTGTAAATGCCACTTTTTCATCGCCACAAATCTAAAGCTTGACTCTTGGTACCATGAAAATAATTTTCAGATGTGGGGACATCTTATTTGACGTAAAGATACCCTTGGAAAGGTCATTGAACTTTGCATATCTTAGTTGCCGTTATTTATCATGTCTGTTCGCCAAAACGCCATATCTTTTCGCAAAAACCCAAGCGTCAATAGTGCAAAGAACGGTATTGCACCTATTAATTTACAGGCATGTTATAAGTTCAGACCCGACAAACAATTTTGAGGTGACCTCTGACCTCGTTTCTCCTTGAGTAGAAATCTGTGGGTCTGTTTAGTAATGGAAAATGTACCGTATGTCAAGCAATATTCACTCTTGTGTTCTTATTACCCCCTTTTGTATCCAGATGGACTCTGATAGCCACGTTTGTAACCTTTTTTACCGAAACCAATAGTCACTGTAGGAGAGTGATGCTTTTCCGATAAGTCGCTTATATTCTTTCATGTTTGCGTCTGCTGTTATCAATAGGAAAATTGAGATCAGAGGTCATGCACAAAAATTCTTTGGGGTCTGATTTCATGACACGTTGTAGAATAATTATTAAAATACACTCATTTTGCTCCGATTAGACCATGGTCATTAAAAATGACATTTGAAAGATTAAACATGATTAATAACGGCAATCAGAGTACACATAGTTCATTGACCTCGCAAAGGTTTTCAGAAGTCAAATATGAAATGTTACATATCTGCACATTTATATCATGGCAAGAATACCCAAATTTAGATATGGGTAAGGCCAAAAAAAAAAAAAAATTCGGTCTCTGGTCAGACCAAAGTTCCGGAATTGACGCGGCCACGCGTTTTTTTTTTTTTTTTTTCCTTTTTAATTTTTTTTTTCAGCTTGGATGTACAGACAAGGTGGGTACTATTTTGCTGTTTTGGTGTCCTCATGTACATTGGTGGCCTCCATAATTTGCCTTGGTGCTTTCGATCATTTGCCTTGGTGCAATTTCCCATTCCTTGGTGCTCTTTGGTAAAAAAAAATTGAGGAGGGGCGGAAACAGACGGCGCTGTTGGAGCTACCAGAGACCGACTTATTTTTTTTTGGGCCTAATAGAAAATTAGTGTTTTGAATAGTTATGCATCTTAATATCTATAAATAAGATATGCAAAGTTCATTGACCCCTTGAAGGCCATCAGAGGTCAGATATGAGATTCCCTACATATTAAAATTATTTTCATAGCATGAGCCACTTAACACAATGACTTGGGGCTTGACAAAAAAGGATTTAAAGGGTATGTTGTATAAATAACTATAAATAGAGTTAGTCCAGTTAATACAAAGGTCATTGACTTCTGGAAGGTCATCAAAGGTCAATTGAGAATCTTTTTTGCATTTGGTCGATATTTACGTTGTATTATACATAGCCTTAGGTCATATGAGAGCGATATTTTCAAGAACAATAGGTATAAATAGAGTATTCAAAGGTCATTGACCGCTCAGAGGTCACCAGGGTCAGATGTGAAATGCCTCCATATCTAGAAATTGTCATGGCATGAAGAATCAACATGCAACGTATCATGCTTTTATCACAAAATGCACAATTCTCTTCCTATGCCGCACCAGTCTGATCATTGCTTGACGTTTTGTTTTGGTGTGACGGGATGGAAGTTTGCTTCTTTCTTGAATTAATTTTCTAAATTGTTTTCTTAGTTTCCAATATAAAATGTAATCCAGTTGCTCCAATTTGATTGTTAGATATGAGGCCTTCCATCGGAATACAATCTGGTCGACAGTGAGGTATAATTGTAAATGTGACCTTTTAAACACCTTCACAACCAGGCCGTTTTATGAAGAAGCCCACTTTCGGACTTTGTTCACAAGATGTGGGAAATATCTACAATCGTCCTTTCCTTTCGAGTAGTCGTCCTGCAACAACACCGCCCTCTAGTAGTGGCATTCAAGAAACAAACAATTTTTCTTCTGGGGCGGATCCAGGAATTTTTGCAGGGGGGGGGGTTCATCAGCAAAAAAATCTGAACATGTACACAGGTTTTTTTTCTCCGAACACTTTGCCTCCGTAAAATAAAAAAAAACGGGGGGAGGGGTTGGTACCATATTTCAATAGGGGGTGCTGTTGAAATTCGACGATTATTAACACTAGATAACAGAATGGTGTACCGTATTTGTAACAGGCAGACATTATACTAGTATAATTTTTGGGGGGTGTCACAGCAGGCCCGGGGGGGGGGGGGGTCGACTTGTTTTTTAGGAATTCGTATTATTTTATTTTTTTGGACAGAGCTGGGGGGGGGGGGGTTGACCCCCCAAAACCCCCCATCTGTATCTGCGCCTATTTTTTGAAGTCTTCAAACTCCTTAAAATGTTATGTGCTTGAGAGGACAACTTATGGCTTGCCTCATTCCTTGAACCTCAAAAGAATCTAATTTTGATTTGAATGATTTTAATTTAAAGTCTGATGTTCTTTTTTTTCATTTTTGCCCCTCTTTTTGGTTTCAGGCAACAGGGCTATGGAGACTGTTCACCTCGCTGACCCCCAGGAGCAAAGTGATGTGCCATCTACCGGCAACCAACAACCAGCAGCCAATGTAAATGTCATGAATACACAACTTAAAGTTGTTAAAAAATAATATCACTATTCCGATTGTACTGAAATATAGATATTAAGTCATTCCCATCCTGGATGTTGAGTCCATGAGGTTGAATAGTCCAAAGACGTTTCATCAGCACTTTCTCCATGCTTGTGATAGCCAATTGAATCTTTGCCCTGTAAAATCGTATTAGAAATGGAATGGTTAATCAAGTTGAAGAGTTGACCAACAGGAGGGTCATTTTTTTCAATGCGACTTTTGGGGTATTTGCATTAAAACAGTTTTTCTACGTACTGCATTAGTTTCAGGTGGTTCATACGTACGAAGACCGCAGCTTCATAATCACACCCCCATTGGAAGCCCAGGCCATCCGCATAGTACCTCCTACCCAATACGCAGACATCGACAACTACCTGATATCATCTCCTATCGAGACCTCGCCTCTTTTCAGATACAACGCTCCCAGCCTGTGGGAGGAGGGGCACAGTTTGGATGGTCTGGAGGAAGAGGGCAGGATGGAATGGGCTCCGCCCCGCCCCCTCCGGGGTAACCCAATCCTTTCTCCGGTACGGGATTGGCAGATGTAGGTATGTGTCACAATTGCATTAAAGGGTGCGCTTTAATTTCCAAAAAAAATTAAATATCAAGTTCACCACCAAGCCCAATAAAACATTGATTTTTAGATTTCTGTAATGATCTATGAGCTACATTTACTCCATATCACGCGTAATCTGTAGATACATTTTTTTCTTCTTCAAATAACGTTCACTGTTTTACATTTAGTAGGCTTATTTTACAGTGTTTGTCTGTATATGTGTAGTTAGCCTTTTTATATGAAGAATGAAACGAAGTGTTTTTTCTACGTTAGTGTGGCATTTGGTTTAAGTCGCAGGACAACATATAATTATATTCATATATAAATGAAGTAAAGTGGAAAGGCTTTTTATGTATAATTTTGGCTAAAACTATATGACAATTTTTGTAATGTTAATCAATGTAGGTGCCTGAATTTAAAGTTCACGGTCGGTACATTATTTTACTGTGAGTAATGTTAAAGTCGCTGAATGTCTTAATTTAAAGTATAAACAGTTATGACATAGTATTATTGTAGGGCGAAGATTGTTTGTTATAATTGTTATAACATATAACCTAACCAGTATTGGTGGTATGTCGGTGTTTGTGGACCATGTAATTAGCTTTTTGCAAGCAATGTTAAAGTAAACTAACATTTCGCAATTGAGTGGTGCCCACTGACGATGGGTGCTGCATTTAATTAAAGTGGATTATGTAGGAACAAATGCATGCACCTGAGACTAGGCAGAAGCTCAACAAACTACGTTTTGTTTTGTTTTATGAACGAAGAGTAAAGTGGCAAGGCTGTTGAAAGAAGAATAAACAAGGTGGGTTTCTTGTATATATTTGAAAGTAAGTTACTACGTCTCAACGATTACATCCTGATTGATAGTCCGAAGGTTCAAAAATCAGAAGGTTCTTTAGTCCGAATTGTCATTAGTCCTTAGGTCCCTTAGTCCGAAGGTTGAATAGTCCGAAGGTTCGATAGTCCGGAAGTTCGATATTCCGAAGGGCCCATTAGTTCGAGAATAGAATAAGGTTAATTAATCCGAAGGTTCGATAGTCCGAATAGACGATAGGGTTCGATAGTCCGAATTGGCAATAAGGGTCGTAAGTCCGAATTGACAATACGGTTCGTCAGTCTGACACTTCGTTCTGACCATAACCCACAGGAAATCATCCTACTTGTGAATTCTATAGAAAAGCATCACCGATGTGAAATCTTTAGAAAAGGGATGAAAGGAACACAATGCCATCACCCCACATGTTCCATCCGTCAGGTCGTCCGGACTATCGGACCTTACTGTTGATTCGGACTATCGGACCTTATTGTCGATTCGGACTATCGGAACTTAGAGTCTTTTTGGACTATCGAACCTTATTGTCAATTTGGAATAATGAACCTTTGGACTATTGAACATTATTTCCGTTTCGGACTACCGAACCTTCCAGTAAATGAACCTTCGGATTAATGAACCTTGGACTAATACATCAGATGTTCCGATTAACGAATCTTATTTCATTTTTTTGACTAACGAACCCCCTTTTATAGATTGTGTACATTCGGACTATCGAACCTAAAAGACAGAACCTTCGGACTATCAGACCTTTGGACTGTCGGGCGGCCCCCATCTCAATAGGCAATAGTTTCATACAATGAGGGGATTAAGAGCGCTGCAGTAACGCAATTATTTTCTGGGTGCTTATACCAGAAAAATCTCTTTCATTGTAAGTTACCATTGTAAACATGTGAGTTTTAATTAGTAGCAGCATGCAAGCATGCGTCAATACCTTTGGAAGCACGTGTTTATTCTCCCAAAATGGCGTCGCTACAGCGCCCTTGTTCGCCCATTGGGGACTAAGATGCACGTTTAATAATCTCTACCATGTACGTTTTTGCTTTTAAAGAAAGGTTGCTGCGACTGTTAAACGATGATGATTTACTAACACTATCAAAAGTATATTATTTTGCAATTTCAGACGGCTTCTTTCAATGAAATGTATCTATCAAAAAGTAAAATTAAAAGTGTGGTAGATATTTCTACATGCTGAACGCTCATGAACTTTTTTAACTTTAATTTTGTTCAATATCTTACTATATTGTTTGTGGTAATTGACAAGTTAATGTTTCTGTAAGAGCACGCCTAGTGGTGCATTTCCTGGGTTAGCCTGAGCGTGCCATGTACAGAGCTGACAGGGATGGGTGTGTACCCTGAAGATCCACGACAATCAAATTGAATAAAGCACTCGAGTAACTCAGGTGGCGCAGCCTCTTTGTCCAAATTTATTATCTTCTTAATGAAGTTGATCTCAAATTCATCAGGACTAATCCCTCACAAAAAGCTTCTTGAAAATCCGGAGAGTGAGAAGAGTCCCTGGCCTAATACCTTGTAAATCCCTGGACAATGTCGCTACCACCCTCTCGCACCGCGTATTTGTAAATCACAGCGATCTTCAACGCACTCGTCGCCACGCAAAGTCAAGGCAGCACCGAAGAATGCGAAGAGTTCTAGCGCTTCCAAGTTGCGTCCGTTGGCCACCAGGCGAAGAATCCCGATACCCTTTTCTCTTCCTGAAGGAGTATCGCCAACCAGCCCAGCAGACAGTTTGGAAATTCCATCGATGGTGTCAGCCCGTAACGTAAATTCACCCAATGTTATTTCGGCGGAGACCGCCTTATTCATCCCGACGGCCCGGTGTTCTCAGCGAGTTTTACAACGGGCAGAGGATCATTTCCTTGGCAAGCTTCAACGGTTCCCGCCGCCGTCAGCGGGTCTTTATCGGCCCTTACCGGTGCTGCCCTATGGATTACCTTCGTTCTCCGTTGCTGCAATGGCTAGCCCACGCATTTCCCAAACTCATTCACCGTGTGTCAACTAAGTTTACTCAGCATTCCCTGATGTTGAGCATGCGCAGATATGTGAAGCCATCTGTTTTATTTCAGGACTTGAAAATTGAGGGCATTTTACGGAATCATAACAACCTATCATATGGAATTTCGTGTCTCATTTTGGTCGCCTCCATCGGTCAGTTATAGACACGACGATATATACTTTGGCGCTGCTTTATTTTTAGTGTCATTTTACAGTACAGATGTTAACTCGGTTTTGCAAATGTTATAATCTGAAGATAATTTGGACTCATAAAATTAATGTAAATATCTCACCGTTTTATTTTAGTATGTAACCCCCTGAAGTAAAGTTTACTACTTCTTAAGACAGTTAATTTAAAGTCTAAATATATATTGATAAAAGCAAAATGAAATCGAAATTGCACCAAGCAGTCAAAGAAAACCATCCAAGATATACATATTAATTTCTGTATTATACCAAACCCCTTAAACAGCGCCCTCCTGTAGTGGTCGCTATACTTTTCGTCCATGTCTGGTGTCGATTTTAGGCTGGATTACACGTAAAGTGTAAGGCTTGTCGTGATAACGCCCTCTCCCGGCGGTGGATTATCGCTGCGCAGGCATATTATCGCGTTTCATAACAACGTCTTGACCCAAGACTACTTCAAAACGAAGAGTTACCAAAACTGAGGGGTGGGGGGTGACCACTGATCTCTATATAGTCTTTATATAGAGATCAGTGGGGGTGACTCTGCAAATTAATATGTATTCGTTGTTGCAGTACATGGCAGTAAGTCTATGAGCACACCTTATCCCCAATTGAGCACAGCTTTGGATTCACAGCTTTGGATTCACAGTCGAATATAAAACCACAGCCTGAAGAGTCTGCGCTCTCAAGCAGTTATCATCTCGAGATGAAGATGATTTTCTTTTTGTAATTTGCTATTTGCCTTTAAAATGTAAATATGACATCGGACAAAAACACAATTTACTGACGTTGAGTAAAACTGGTGCAGCGCGCTGTGCGTCGTATACCGTACGACGGGGTCACAGCCGGGTCAAGTCAGCGGACAAAACACAGTCAGGTATGTGAACATTTTAGTGCATCACGCCATGCGTGTACAACCACTGCCTTGTGAGGTACCGGAACAATGGGAGGTACATAAGGATTGCCCACCGACTTAAGTCTGTGGGCAAATATATTTATTTCGTGAACAAACTTGTGGGGTACCAAAACGGTACCCCGCAAGTCGACTTGCGGGGTACCATTTTGGTACCCCACAAGTTTTTCACGAAATAGATATATGAATTTTACTCAAAAACTAGGAATTTCCAAGGTGGGTTGATCCGTAGCAAAGGGAAGAGTTTTAGAAAAGGGATATTAAGTCCGAATTTCAGCCCAGGAAAGTAACTATGGTTAAAATAAAACAGTTTTGACATAAGCGTGAGACGTTGCACAATTTTTAGTACACGAGAACAAAGGAAGTACCCCACTTCTTTGCCTATGTAAGCGTGTGCGTACTTGTACAGAAAAAGCACATACATTTGCGAATGGCTTCGCCTACGAGTGTTCCAATAGGGAACGTTCCGTTGGGAACGCATGAGACAAGTAAGCCCGTGCTCCAAAATCATCAAACGTTCCTTTCGGAAACGCTCGGTGTTCCCATATAAGAACACGCGCAGTGGGAACAGCACGTGTTCCCAAAAAGACCAATCAGCGTTCCCAGTGGAACTTTCCGAGCGTTCCGACTTATGAGACGTTACCTAATACTGAAGTGCAATAGAACAAATTTGGTTTTCACGAACTACACGCAAACATGTTGCGGCAATACAATTCGGGAAAAAAAACAAATTTTATTTTACAACGATTATTAACATCATAATATTAAAGGCTACATACATATTTTACACGAATCAAACGCTTGCCGCTGCCTTTTACTGTGTATTGGAGTTCCAATCTTGAACATAATACCCCCGTCACACCGGAGGTGCGGTGCCACTGCGGTGCTTGTACGGCATAAACCGCAGTGGCACCGCCATGATCGCCGTGGTTCCGCAGTGGTTCCGTCATTGATCGCCGTAGCACCACGGAAAACTGTCAAAACCGTGGATCTTCGCGGTGGCACTGCGTAAACTTTGAACATGTTCAAAACTTCCGCAGTGCCACCGCGGGTTGGGCAAATCCGCAGTGGGATCGCCGCGGCAATCGCCATGACCGCCGTGGCACCGTACATGGACCGCAGTAGGACCTCTATCACCGCCGTGCCTCCGCAGTACAACCGCCCTGCAATCGCGAAGGTCTGCGGTTTTGACAGTTTTCCGCAGTGCTACGGCGATCAATGACGGAACCACTGCGGAACCACGGCGATCATGGCGGTGCCACTGCGGTTTATGCCGTACAAGCACCGCAGTGGCCCCGCACCTCCGGTGTGACGGGGGTATTGGCGGGTAGTGGAAAACTATGAAAAACTACTGCCGGTGTCACTTCGGTGATGGCGGTTTTGACCAAAAACCGTAGTGGCACCGCACCTCCGGTGTGACGGGGGTATTAATACCAGTACAAGGAACACGTTTACGTCTTGGAGTGACTGTTATTTTAGAAGCATTGATTTTTTTTAGTAAGAGGCTCTGTGGCAGCAACATGTACGTTGTATCTCTTTGCCCTGACAATGCACTCTGGATGGCTTTTTGGAACTATTAAAAGCTCCTATATTCTCTTTCCGGAAATAAACATCCTCTTACACTTTCAGTTCTTTCAAGTGTTGGTTT